TAGCGTAAATAATATATATCTTCACCCCTTTCTCCTATTAGTTAATCCATTTTTTTGAATTGTACTGTAATTTTATCAACAATTCCTTCTGTTTATCAAAAAATATATGTATAAGTATACTATAAATTTATTGTAATAATTCGATTAACACTAATGTTTGTAAAATCGGTGATCCTTGGTGTGATGTTTGTAAAATCAGCTGCACAAGCAATGATTGTCTTAAAATGCATTTAGGAGGAAAGAAACACCAGAAGAGCTTACGAAAGCTATAGAACCCGATTCCCTTATTTACTCCAACCAAAGTTGCTGCTAAAACACCAGTTCTAGTGAGTAACAATGCACAACACAACCTTTCAGAAAAAAGAAAAGTCGAAGAACCATGGTGTGATGTTTGCAAGATCGGGTGCACAAGCAATGATTGTCTTAAGATGCATTTAGTGGGAAAGAAACACCAAAAGAACTTACGAAAGCTCTACAACCCCATTAATTAGTAATTTCTCCACTATTGTTGATCTCAGTACTATCCCTCACCCCACTTATCTCTTTCCGGTTGTATTATACTTATCTAGTTGTCTGTTTGAAAAACAATGTTAGAACTGTAGTAGTATGGTACATTGGTTCGACAATGTTCAGAGAATGCATTTTACATATGAGCTATTCTATGGACATTAGGATGTAATAGTGGGCTTTGCCCAAGAATTGCATGCTTCTTGCTGTGTTTATAAAGTTTGTTTAAGATTAGGACCGGATTGTTATTAGTAGTAAACTAATCGCATTAGTTCACAAATCATGTAAATATCTTTTAAAATATATTTTGAAATTGTATTTCCTGATAACCGATTACAATTAATCTCCATATTTGTCGCAATACATTATGATCATGTAAAACTTTATGTATACCTATACAGTTGGCTGATTTTTGTACCACTTTAGACACGAACATATGAAATGATTCACGCGTGGTATAAGATATATTTACAAAATTTTACCACTTTAAATAGTTTCCAAATTTGCACTTAAGCCTTCAAGTTAATCTCATAGGCTTGATGTTGAATAGTGAAATCATTTTATTCCACCTTGAAACTGATTTAAAGACCTTGAAATGTACATTTTGCGAAATGGAGCCACACTCTATTCAACCCCACCCATTTAGAGTATACTTAGCAATTTAGCATTGGAATATTACTCAACCAACAATAGAATTAGTCAAGAAACTGGGCTTCATTTGACTGAATCAGTCTACCGTCAAGCAACACCGCTTCAAGTGGCTAAAGCAGTCTATCGTCGATGGTTAAAAAAAAGATATTACATCAAGCAAAACTGTCATTATCTTTACAGCTCATGAATGGCAAGGTTGCACCTCCGGTTTACCAACGACATCCGCAATGTGGGGTAAGTGAGCATGAAAAATCTCACCAGCCTCATTGACCATGATCAACCTGCCCAAGCGAAAATTTTCGAAGCAATATCGTATTCGAGGAGGCCCCAGTGCCTCACAGTGAGATACTTAATTGTATCTCACAATGGCAAATTTGTAAGTAAAATCAACCTTTTAAATACCACTGTAGTCATGGTGGTATGACCCTCATTACAAAAACTAGGGTTGAGCAAATTTATCCGAAAAACAGAAAACCCGAAAATCCGAACCGTAGATGAACCGAAAATTAGGGTACCCGTTTCGATAACCACAACGGTTCGGGTACCCGATCCGATAATTTGTTATCGGGTATGGTAATTGGTATCATTTTAAAATTAACGGTTACCCAATCCGTTCCGATAAGCAATTTTTTCGATATTTTTTCCTACTTAAATCTATTTATCCAAAATCTAAACTCTTATTTTACTTCATAATCATTTCAATTGTGAAATGATTAGTAATTATTAGTAATTTGATCATGATCATGTGGTATTATTTTTTATTAGTGTTAAATGATGTCATAACCACTATATTGTAAAGTCTAAATTTTTATTACTGGATATCATATTGGGTACCCGATAACCAAACCAAAAATCCGGGTACCTGAAGTTCGGGTGTACCCGAATTTATTCGGTTAGGTAATGGATATCATTTTTAGTGTTATTAGTTATCGGGTACCCGAACCGATGGGGTAGCCGTCCCATGCTCACCATTGTCAAGAACTTGCCTTCTGAATTTTAGTTATGTAACTCACGGGAAAAAACGACATGCAAGGTCATTTTTGTTGTTTGCCTGTGAAAATAGACATAATCATTGAACTTCATTTCGTGTAAAGGGTTTGTTTGTACTTGAAATGGTGTTTAGGAAAAAAAAATATATTTCGTAAGGGCCATATAAGTTCATAAGGGCCAAATGAGTCTCGACAAACGAAGCCACATGTATGACGGTTCTTTGCACACAAGGGTACTCACGTCATCCGTCACTGTTGTGCAGACAAAATTGGCCAACAGCAGTCCGAATGACTTGTCATTGAGTTGTTACTGTCAACATGATTTGAATCATTAGGAAAGTAGGAAATGTGTAAATGTGATTGTCAAAAAAAGTGTCACGTGAATTAAGGTGAATTACCATAGTGTATTCATGTCCTTTTACCACACTCATAGTTTCAAGTATCCCATACACCCATTCGTAAATCGTATTTCCAAAGTTGGTAATGCAATGCAATTGTGACGGAATAATAATTTTTCGACGGAGCTTAGAAGAATTCAATAACCTTGTACATATGTTCGGGGTTATAAATTTGCGTTGATGAGGTTTATAAATAATTGCCACTACAATACGACGGTAATTTGAGTCGGATAATAAAATGTACAAGTATAGTTGAAGTTGGTATTTATTTTTGTAAGATAGTATGTAAGTTAATATGTGAAGGTTGTTATTCGATCGTAGCCCGAAACCTTATGTTAAAATCGAAACGGGCTCCGAACCGTAAATTCGTTGAAACCAATACTCAACCAGAAAACATTTTTAAAGAAGAAACACCCTCAACCATACTCAAGAGTTAAGACCATATTTTTGGAGCAATTCATTGGACTAGTACAAAATTACAATGCTCCTCAAAAAATGCAATAACAGTTAATTATTAAATCATTTTCCTGTTTATTTTAATTTACGTAATGGTTGCACTTGTACTATTTTTTACAATCCTTTTTCCCATTTTTATGATTCGCTAAAAAGCTCTATCTGTGCAATGGTTGATAGCGTATGGACATATGGGTAATACCTAGTTGATTGATGTTACACCAACAATTTTTTTGATATAATAAAATTGTGTTACTTCTTTATAATTATAGCGTTTTGTGTAAATATAATTGCAACAAGATAAAGGAAACCTGGTGAAAAAATAATACTACGTAATAAAAGTGATGACGACGTATTTGTTTAAAACCGCAACCGCTCCGCATCGAACCGTATTCCAATGCAAAGGCCTAAGTTGTCAAAATAACATATTAAATAAATATCACAAAATACTAAAACCAACTTAATCCCCCTTCGTAACAAGCGTAATGATCCTTGCCGTATGAATTAAAATCAACTGAATTCCGTTTTGTAGGAAGCCTAATGATCCTTGACGAATGAATTACAAGTGAGTGTTTAATTACGACTTTCATTATGATCCTTAATGTAATGTTTAATTGCGATTTTCATTATGATCCTTGATGTTTGGATTTGAACATTGGGGATTACACATAACTACCACAAATTTTTGATACAATTAGAAATTGGTAAGGTTTCCCAATTAAAAAAAAATACAAAAATCAGGAAAATTAGATAATTAAAATTCTTAAATGAAACGCCATCATTACTTCCCCTCGAGAATTGGGATCATTAATTCCATTGTTCATCACCGTATTCATTTTACTTCCATACTACGTTGTAAGAGTAAAACACCTGTTCATTCCCCTTTAGAGTCGTCTAAAAACCTCAAAAAACCTCGCCAAGTGAATTCTGCTCCAAGGTATGTTCCTATGTAATTTGCCGTTTAATGGTTTGGGACTCTTTAATTATGTTTCCTGCTTTTTCTATGTAATAACGTGTTATTTGTTTACTTCGTGGTTTTATTGGTAGTTTCCTCTTTGCTGGTTTTTTTGATATCGTTCTGCATGTGGTGAACTCCAATGTTTCCCTTCTTGTCAGTAATGGTTTCTTGTTGTACGTAGTGATGGTGGACATGTGATCATGATCATGATTCTGCATTTCCTGTATTGCGTCCGGTTTTTTCTTGTTTTTGTGTTGTTGTTCCTTATATCGCCATTAATGGGGTGAGTCTTTCCTGCTTTATTACGACAACAATGGGGTGGAGGGGGAAGGGGCTGATTTATTTGTTTTCCCTTTTTTCCCAACTTTTAAACTTTTTTTTCGTGTTTTGCGAATTTTGGAAATTTATGTAGGTTGTTTTTATACCACTTTAGTTTCGATTAAACGAAATTGATCAAGGCGGTACAAGAATTGGATGGTAAAATTGTACCACTTTTCCCACGGTGGTACATAAACTCCTTCTTTGTAACTCTTTAGAAACATGGCTGTCTAAGAAGCGGAGAGGGAAGGGATTGAATTATTTGTTATTCCTTTCTCCCTAAATTTCAAACTAATTATTTCGGGTTTCTGAATATTTGCGGAGTATTGTGGGGGCTTTTTGTACCACTGAAGTAACGATGCAGCGACAATGTTCAGGGTGGTACATGAAATTGATGATGAAATTGTACTACTTTAATCACAGTGGTACAGAAACCCGCTGCTTTCTACCACTTTAGAAACATGGATTTACCCTGTCAATTTTGTCTTTGCATGTCAAAGTAGTGGAGGGGGAAGGGAGTAAATTATTTGTTTCTCCTTTCTGCCCAGTTTTTAAACCATTAATGTTGGGTTTATGATTTCTGTTAATTTATTTGGGCGATTTTTGTGGTACAAGTAATGGATGAGAACATTGTAGCACTTAAGTCATGATGGTACCAAAACCCCCTGTTTCGTACCAATATGGATTTACCCTTTTAATTTGTCTTTGGTTGTCAAAGAAGCTACCATGGGTGACCGAGACGTGACTGAGGTTAAAGGGCATCTTGCAAAGGTGTACTCAGAGTTAGACGAAATCAATGCACAGGAGAAGATGAAGTTAGAAGAACTAGCTAAGATGACAACATTACATACGGCAGAGCTAGAAGAAGCGAGGGTTTTGTTGGGCCGTTTGAACCAGCTCCAGGAACAGCGAATTGCACACCTTTAGAGTGAAATTCACGCAATCCGTTCCACGCCAGGTTATGCCGTTGGAAATGAGCAACCTGATGAGAGGATTACCGAGGAGGACAGGGGTGGTGCTGTAGCTATTTGTGGTGCTGATGCTGGTAATGGTGATGAGGATATGGAGGATCAGAATCAAGACGGAAATGCTGATGCTGAGGATGAAGATGATGAGGACGAGGACTACGACGATGAAGATGATGAGGACTACGACGCTGAATATGCTGAGAATGAGGAAGATTCAGAAGATGAAGATGATGAGGATGAGGAAGATGCAGAATGAGAAAATGAAGATGATGAACATGGGGAGGAGGACGGGGGTGAAGCTGCTGCAGATGATTATGAAGATGATTCTGAAAGCTGGACTTTTGGCTCTGATGATGGTGGAGGTCAGTATCCCGCTTATGATGAAGACAGCGGCTCAGCCAATTCAAATGCTTACAGGCGACGCATTCCTCTCCCCAATTACCATCCTTGGGATTAGCTTGGTTTGTATTTATTTAGTTATGTAATGTACACAATACCTTTTAAGTTTAAGCTAAAGGTTAAGTTTAATAGGTGATTAGGGGGAGTTTCAAGACAATTTACATGATGTAGTATAATTGGGTGGATTTTGTCGTTGGTTTTTTTGTTTTAGCTTTTTGTTTAGCGCTCTGGTAGTTTAGGAGTAATTATTTAATAGTAACTTCACTAGTTGGATGATGTTGTTGCCCTCCTACTACGACGCAGGTATTTGTACCACCCTTGTTATTAATATTCCATTTCCGTATTTAGTGGTTCATTCTATACATGCCATTGTACCACCATTTCTTCAACGGTACCTAAGTTGACCTAGTGGTACCCTGGATTACAAAACAAGGCCTACTTCAAAGTTGACACCTATGATCAGTAAAATGGTTTAACCACCAACATCGATTCAAAGACAGAATTTAAGGACTAAGACATCTTTACTTTTGGTACATGTATGTGTTACCGCATAAAATGGTATAAACCATTTCATTATCCAGGGGTTCATTGTCATATAATAAGAGTTTAAACAAAGCGATGTTGTTGGAAAATTTGGGTGACAAGAAATATAGTTAACTAATTGTAATACGTTTCATTACTCAAATGTATCAAGAGAATCATTTGATTCTTTCTGTTAATGATTTGAGCCGAAATGTTATTTTGGGGTACAAGCACAAAACGAATTTGTATTCGAAAATGATGACACCATTTTCCCCGTTATCAATATCTTCCCATAGGGAAAAGGAAGAAAAAGAAATAGTAAAATCTCATAATTTGCGATCTTAATTCAATATTTCTGTTTTTATCGAACAAATTCTTCCATTTAAAATATGTGTTAGATATATTAATAACTTTGAAATCTTGGTATCGTAGTACATTTATTACGTAAGATATGTACCATTAATTAATATATGCATGCTGAACTTCTAATTAACTTCTAATAGGAAGTTTCCATGTAATCCTCGCCGGTTTATAAGGCTCCCCCACTAATTCAATTATCTACCATCATCATCACAACTCCCAACCCACTACATCCACTCTTGTGAACCATCACTTTGAAGTCTATTTATGTCTCAAACATTTTTTGCAATAAATTTAACTTCATTCTATTCGGACAAAGCGATCTCCCTCTCTAAAAAATACCAAAATGGATGTAGGTGCGAAAGGGCGAAAAGTTACAACTTCTATGGTTGAAATCCTCCCATCAAAAGTGCTGGCGACCATTCTAAGTTTCGTTGCTAAGTCATCTCCTACTGATTTATTTTGGTGCAAATTAAGGTACGCTTATACTTGCAATATGCACTCTATTTCTCATCACGTACACTAATTTCTACCGTATAACTTGATAATAGTTGTAACACACTACGACGGATAACCGAAGAAAAAGGGGTCTTTAAAAAATTAACCTCCGTTGGATTAACACACGAATGTCGTGGGCCTCGTGGGCACACCAAGAAGCGGTGGGGAAGTTCTTCATGAAGTGCGTGGAGAATGAACATCCTGAATCTATGCTTGACTTTTGATTTGTACGTCTTCTTTCTTATTTTTTATTGGGAATTTTATTCGTCACAATTTATGTTGTAGACTTTCTAGTCACTGTTTTAATATTTCTCTTTACCGTAGCGACAATACTTCAACACCCTGGTGCTAGATGATGTTGGAAAGAGCAACTAAGTTGCAGAATTCAATGGCAGCATATGTCGTAAGCCTAATACACATATACACCGAATAAGAAGAAAGGGGTGTTAAGCTTTTGGAGAACACTATCAACAACATCGGATCTGCAGGGATAGTCCAGTGCAGAAGGAAGTTACGTTAGATGGCGATTTCAAATTGGATGCACAATCATATGATTGTACATTGTACGCCTCAGCCGAAAATATTCTGCAAACAAAAACTACAGCACGAGAAGAACTTAAACCCATGGGATCCTCTTAATGACGAGAATGTGGAAAGCACAATATCCTGTATGACTTGTAGATGCATTAGGGAAATAAGCGTATTTTATGAAATACTACGTGGTCTACTCACCGGTCCTGTGTAATGCATATGATCTGTATTAATGATATTTCTTTTTCAAACTTGTAGGTTATGATTCGTTAACTTTGTGTTCAGGTTACACCTAATGATATGTTTCGCAGTTCGGAAGGACACGCACAAACAGAGTGCAGTTTACCATCAGTAAATCTCTGTTACTCATTGTGAGAAACGTTTTTGTTTCTCACGGTGGCAGTTTCGTAAATAAAATGTACCACCGTGACTAAAGTGGTACAATTTTATCATCCATTTCGTAAATAAAATGTATCACCGTGACTAAAGTGGTACATTTTAATTACGAAACTGCCACTATGAGAAATAAAAACGTTTCTCACAGTGAGTAATGGGGGCGCCCTCATTTACCATATAGCTGAATTGGTCAAACGAACCTATTAGTATATACTCAGGACATATAAACACATCCAATGTTGAATTAAACTAAGTTTCCGACGGTACATTTCATGACCAAAAGCTTAGCAACTGAAACATGTTCAAACAACAGATATCCATCTCTTTTGCCACCTTAAACAATTTCAATTGTCCGTGTCTAAAGTGGAGCAAAAATCACCCGAATAAATTTCCAACGTACAAATACCAAAAAACATAGTTCCAAACTTGGGCAAGTAAGTCCATTCCTCTGGAAGTATTTACATTATTCATAAATTTCATTACAAACAGAACTAAAACAATAAATCATAAATAATTTTTAAGACAAAAACAAAATAACATACCAATGTAAGTCTACATCCATCTCCAAACACAACAATATGACATGGGAGGTTACTGTACATCTCTACGATTGCAGATACGATTATATCTTCTTATATTTTTTATAAAACCTTTCCGATTTTCAAATATGGCAGTAAATAAGGTTTTGAAATTCGTTTTGGAAATCACTTCTTATATTTTGGGATACTCTCCTCCACCATCATCAGAGCCAGAAGGCCAGTGCCCTCCATGACCAAATTCAGAGTCATCTTCTTCACCATCTTCAGCAGCTGCACCCCCGTCCTCATCCCCATGTTCATCATCTTCATCTTCATCTTTTGCATCTTCGTCATCCTCATCATCTTCATCGTCGGCGTCCTCATCGTCTTCATCCTTATCATCAGCATTCCCCACTTGATTTTGGTCCTCCATCTCCTCATCACCATTACCATCATCAGCACCACAAACAGTCACAACACCACCCCTATCCTCCTCGATAATCCCCTCAACAGGTTGGTCATTTCCAACAGCAGTGTCATTTCCGGCATAACCTGGCATTGAACGGATTGCGTGAATGTCCCTCTGAAGGCGTGCAATTCGCTGTTCCTGGAGCTGGTGCAAACGGGCTGAAAAAACCCTCGGTTCTTCTAGCTTAGCCGTATGTAATGCTCTAATCTTAGCTACTTTTTCTATCTTTATCTTCTCCTGTGCATTGATTTCGTCCAACTATGAGTACAACTTTTCAAGATGGCCTTTTACCTCAGTGATGTCCCAGTCAGCCATGGTAGCTTCTCTGACAACCAGAGAAAAAATTGATAGGGTAAATCCATATTTCTTAATTGGTACAAAACAGGTGGTTTTTTTACCATCATGACTAAAGTGGTACAATAATCTCATCCATTTATTGTACCACTATAAATAATTTCATGTCATTGTGACTTTAGTGGTACAAAAATCGACCAAATAAATTTTCAAAACTCATAAACCCGACATTAATGGTTTAAAAATTGGGCAGAAAGGGAAAATCCCCCTCCACTTCTTTTACAGGCAAAGACAAAATTGAAAGGGTAAATCCATGTTTCTAAAGTCGTACAAAGAGGCGGGTTTCTGCACCACTGTGATTAAAGTAGTAAAATTTCATCATCAATAATATGTACCACCTGAACAATGTCGCTGCATCGTTACTACATTGGTACAAAAAGCCCCCACATAGATTTCAAAAATTCATGAACCCGAAATAATTAGTTTCAAATTTGGGCAAAACGGGAAAACAAATAATTCAATCCCTTCCCCCTCCGCTTCTTTCACAGCCACTGACAAAATTGAAAGGTTAAACCCATGTTTCTAAAGTGTTACAAAACAGGGGGTTTCTGTACCACCGTGAGAAAAGTGGTATAATTTAATCATCCAATTCTTGTACCGCCTTGATCAATTTCGTAAAACCGTAACTACAGTCATACCACATGCAGAACGATATTAAAAAAACCAACAACAAGGAAACTACCAATAAAACCACGAAGTATATAAAACAAATAACACATTGTTACAGAGAAGAAGCAGGAAACATAATTAAATAGTCCCAAACCAGTAAACGACTATTAAGAAATAGGAACATACCTTGGAGCAGAATTCACTTGGCGTGGTTTTTTTGAGGTTTTTTAGACGGTTTTGAAGGGGAATGAACAGGTGTTTTACTATTCGAACGAAGTATGGAAGTAAAATGAATACGGTGATGAACTATGGAATTAATGGTTCCAATTATCGAGGGGAGGTAATGATGGCGTTTCATTTAAGAATTTTAATTATACAATTTCAGTGTTGTTTTTTTTTTTAAATTGGGAAACCTTACCAATTTCTAACTGTATCAATATGGTGGGGGTGGTTATGTGTAACCCCCGGAAGTGCCTCGATGATGTTTGCAAATCATTGTTCTAATTCATACAACCTGAATCATAATGAAAATCAAATTAAACCTTTCATTGTTCAAATTAAAACAACAAGGATCATAATGAAAATCCCAATTAAACATTA